TCGAAAACAAAAGAACCATAATGTAGTTAATGATATGCCTACCAAAGGGTTTAGGGGTGAAGTGAACTGACACTCGCAGCTTACTTTTGAAATGCATCCAAAAAGTAAGATGAATTGCTGGGTGGAGAGAGGAAAGGAGGGATGGACGGACGTGTGATGAAGCAAGTATAGTCTCAGTGGTGGGCACAGAGAGTGTGGGCAGTATAAACTTTCCATTTTTCTGTTTGCACATTTTTATAATACAGGGTAGGGCCTCAGAGAAATGAAGTGGACCTTGGAAGTTACCATCAACACACAGAAGGTAAAAGGCCCTGGGTTTTGTTCACAGAGCCAGAACTAGCAGCAGCCCTCAAAATCTGCTGACACCCTAGGCACCTTGCCCTCAGGCAGTGACTGGTGTTCTGGGGAGCGGAGCTTTGGCCTCAACGGACAGAGAGGCCTGGCTCCTGCAGAGCCCACAGCACAGAGGGATTGTGGCATGTCCCAGACAAAGCTCTCCGATCATGGAAACCCCTTGTCAGAACATCAGGGAGCGTCTACCCTCTAAGGCTCTGTGCCTCGCCCAGAGAGCCCTTGTGAGTGGCACGGCTGGATTTCAGCCTTCACAATATGATGGCATTGATGATGGAGATAGGTTTTTGTTTTTGTTTTTTGGCCGAACCACGTGGCTTGCAGGATCTCAGTCCCGGGACCAGGGATTGAACCTGGGCCACGGCAGTGAAAGCGCCGAATCCTAACCATTAGACCATCAGGGAACTCCCACGGAGATAGTTTTGGGGCTTTTCTCTCTGCCAGGCACTGCATGAAGCATTTACATCTATCATGTCATTTAATGCTTAAATGACCCTGTGAAGCAGGTACTACTGTCATCCCCATTTTTTTTTTCCAAGCATGTATTTATTTATTTATTCATTTATTTAGTTTTGGCCGTGTTGGGTCTTTGTTGCTGTGCGCGGGCTTTCTCTAGTTGCGGTGAGCGGGGGCTACTCTTCACTGCGGCGCGCGGGCTTCTCATTGCGGTGGCTTCTCTTGTTGCAGAGCACGGGCTCTAGGCGCGCGGGCTTCAGTAGTTGTAGCTCACAGGCTCTAGAGCGCAGGCTCAGTAGTTGTGGCACACGGGCTTAGTTGCTCCGCGGCATGTGGGATCTTCCTGGACCAGGGATCAAACTCGTGTCCCCTGCGTTGGCAGGTGGATTCTTAACCACTGTGCCACCAGGGAAGTCCCTGTCACCCCCTTTTATATATGAAAAATGGCTCAGAGAAATTCAGTAACTTGTATGGAACACTCAGCTGGCAGATGCCGAGCTGGGATTCAGAGATATACTTGACTCCAGAGACTCTGATCCTAACCACCGCCCCCTTCCGCTCCACAGGCCACTCTCCTCATCCCTCCCACCTTTCCCCCACTCTTCTCCCAGTGGTTTGTCACAGAGGACTTGTCTGCTCCATCCTCAGAAGAAAACTCAGGAGAAAGTCTGACTCAGGCCCATTGTGCTCCTTATAAACCAAGCACCCCACTCCTGCCCCTGTACTCCTGCTTCCCAGGACAGCTCTGCACCCCAGGATGGGCTCCTTTCCCCAAGAGAAAGGAGACACACACACACACAACACCAACCAACACCCTGATGGGCTCAACCAGCCCCACTCTCATCCCTGCAAATGCCCTGCCTCCATCCCAGCCTGGCTCCTGCAGAGATAAGACAACCTGAAAACAGCCTCTTTAATGAACCCAGAGCTGAGGAAGACTCCAGACAGCTGGTAGCCAGCCTCCTTAGAGGAGGAAATGAAGGCCCAGAGAGAGGCAGTGGCTGGCCCAATGTCACACGGCACTAAACGTCGTCTCCTGGGACTTGTCCCCTTAGCTCCAGGCTGGGCAGGGCTGAGTTGGGCTGCAGAACTGGTGGGAAGAAGTGAGGGTTGGATGGTGCCTAGAGGCCCCTTCCTCTCCAGAGAGAGAAAGGTTAGCTCCTAGGAGCCAGGAATAGAATGGCTGGGCCCTGCAGTGCCAGCAGGGATAGTAGCGCTCCTTCTAGATAGGGAGCCTCAGTCCCAGAGAGAGGAAGTGCCTATCACTGGAGCCCGCGGCCAGTTCCTGGCGACATGGATCCCCAGTGTCCTTCCCACGCCAGCCCCTCGATTCCCTCGATAGGATCCAGAGGTACAGAGTGGGCTGAGCTGAGCCTCTCCCCTACCCACACCCACTGCGCCCCTGTGCCTTGGACCCATCAATGCTCCCCAGGACGGAAGACCAGACATTTTGCTTTTACCAAGTCCCTTCCTAAAAGTCATAGAACTTAGACTCTGGCCTGGGCCCTACAGAGGCTGCTGGCAGAGGGACCCCCACTCTGCAGCCCCTTGCGGGGAGAGAAGAGGGGGAAGACAAAGAGGCCCACCCATCCCCCAACACGCCTGCTCTTCAGCCAGGCCTGGCCTCCAGGGACTTTAGAACACCCCACCCACCCAAGGGAAGGGTTCTACCCTGGTTGCTGCAAGCCTCCGGCAGGGCCCAAGCAGCCCTGGAGTGGGATGGGGTTGGGAGGAGTGAGGGTGGGTGGTGGTGGTCACCCAGCTGTGAGGCCCCCGTCCTAACAGCTTGGAGCCTGTGGAGAAGAATGGGGATCAGACGGTGGAGACTGGGTCTGCAGTCAGACCCCAAGCAGCCCCTGGCCAGGCCGGGCTGACTAGCCCCTCCCTCATCACAAACACTAGGCCCCTGGCTCTGAGAGAAGGGGGCATTTTTCAGAGATGACATCAGGTCTTAAAGTTTTATGTTTCCTGCCAACCTCAGCCTGGAGAGCAGAGTCCCCAGGGCCCACAGGCCTGGTGGGGCAGGTAGCAGCACCAGTGCAAACAGCGCACCACTGGCCCTGGACTCTCACGGCAGTCCACCCACAGGCCGCGAGGGTGACGTCCAGTGGTCTGCTCACCTGAGGACACAGCCCTGCCTGGTCACTGTAGGACAGATGCAAGAGGAGAGAAGATACCAAGCTGCCAGGTCCTCAAACACACCTCAGAGCCTTTGCTCATGCTGTCCCCTGTCAGTTCCCATGCCCTACGTGCTCCACGCCATCTGGCGAGCGCTTCCTCATCCTTCAAGTATCTTGTCCAATGTCCCCTCCCTCTGAAGCCAGCCCTACCTCCCTGTGCCTCTATAGTGTTCTGTCCATCCTTCCATTAGAGCCCTGACCCCTGGCACAGTGTTTATTTTTATTGATTGATTTGATTTGATTTTTGCACAGCCCTTAAAACCACCTTGCTTTCACACTCCCTCTGGCCTCCCTGTCCCGCAAGATCCCCAACCCCTGGAGGACTCAGACCAGGTCCCACCTCACTCTGGCAGAAAGAAATTAATCCACCACAAAGGGGTAATAAGACCTGCCCCGTTAAGGAGCTACGGTGGGGCTTAGCTGAAGGTAGGGAGGCTGAAGGTTGAGTGAGATGCAGGGAGCCGCAAGTGGGGGGAGGGAGGGGAGGGATATGGAGAGGTGAGGAAACTGTAGTGAAGGAAGCACAGTGGGGGCCTCCTTGGCAGCCTGGATGGAGAGCAGGAGGCGCTGAGCTTCCAGGGTGTGATCTAGCTGCCACTTGTGCTTTTTTTCTTTTTAATATACCTTCTTTTTTTTTTTGGCCATACGGGGAGGCTTGTGGGATATTAGCTCCCGGACCAGGGCTCTATCGACCCAGGCCCACAGCAATGAAAGCGCCGAGTTCTAACCACTGGACCGCCAGGGAATTCCCCAGACAGTCGTGATTCAATGAGTGAGTCAGTAAAGGAATGAATGAGGGATCCAAAGAGAGGAGGGTGATGTGGGAAAACCAAATTTACCTTCTACAGTGAACTTTCTCTGGCAGCAGGAAGGGGTGGACACAGAGACAGATGCCCACACACACTACTCCCCGCCCAGCCACCACCTGGAGTTTCATAGGCTAAGATGGGCTGAAGGCGCACACTGGGCCCAGAAGGGACCAGGGGACTGGGTCACTGCTCCTCTCCCCTGGGAGGGGGCTGACTGGGTGCCCCGGGCCCAGGGCCAAGCTGCCCGGCTGCTGACTCAGGCCCCGCTGGCCAGCTCAGCATTCCTG